TTATTTTTCTATCTTTGCCACTAAATAAAAGAATGACTTTGGGACATTCATTTAACCTAGTCAAGAATCAGTTTTCACGTGGCTCAGTTGGTCAAGCATCCAACTCTTGATTTTGGCTCAGGTCATGATCTTGCGGTTTGTGAGATCAACTCCGCATCAGGCTCCATGCTGAGCATGGAGCCTGCTTGAGATTCTCTCTCTCCCCTTCTCTTTCTCGACCCCTCCCCCACTTGCATGCGTGCGCTCTCTCTCTCTCTTCCAAGATAAATAAACTTAAAAAAAAACAAAGAATCAGTTGCCATAAGTTTTAAAAGAAAGTGTTGAACTAGATTTGATAATTAAACATTCCTTTATCGAGGGCCTACCAAGCTGGAGGCCAGACAGCACAAGTCAAAGAAGATCTCTGACATCCAGCAGCTCTGAACCTGCCACATCCAGACCCCTTGAGCTGGGATAACACTAACCTCTCTTTTCCTCAGTTTCCAAATCTGTGAAATGGAAATGATAGTTACCCATACCCAGAAAGTTTTTTATGTGTGCACAATGGTAGGGTGTGGAGAAGGGTGGATAAAATGACAAAATATGGTTATACTGCTTGATACCTAGTAATTTCCCAATAAATAGTAAATATAGACTATCAACTGCTTGGGACAGGATGGAGGGGGTGATGCCAGAAGGAAAGGCAATGGCAATGGTCAGTAGCCATTAGCCACACTTAGCTACTGGGCACTTGAAAGGTGGCTAGTCCAAACTGAGATGTGTTGTAAGTGCGTGCTTTGGGTTTCTAAGACACAGCATGAACAGAAACCATAAATCACCTCATTAATAATTTTTAATCTTTAGTACATATTGAAATTATAGTATGTTGGATATTTTGGGTTAAAGAAAATATGTTATTAAAACAGCATTCCGTACACTCCTTAAGAACAGACAGTTCTTCTCTCTATATTATAGCCATCCGTTTACTGATCATTCTTGCCTGTAAGTCAGTGGTCCTCAAAGTGTGGTCATAGAAACAGAATGCCCAGGATCCCCTGGGAACTTGTCAGAAACACAGATTTCTGGGTCCCACCACTGCATCAGATACTCTGGAGCTGGAGCCCAGAAGTCTGTGTGTTGACAGGCCCTCAAGTTGAGTCTGATACTTATACATTTGAGAAACATTGCGAGACTGAGTTTTTATGCCTGGGACCACATCCAAGTCACCCTGCATTGCCACTCAGCCCAGTGACTATTTGTCAAATGGAAAAACGGATGAGTGAATCCTGATGACTGTGAGGCCGTCAGAGGATATCCAACCAGGGGAAGTCATGGCCTGATTGCCTTTTAGAAAGTTACTTTTGTGAGCTGTGCAGCAGAGTACAGATTATAGGAAGAAGTTACTAGAGACAACTGAATTTGCTTATAGGAAAATTATTATTTGAAAATCTAAATATATTATTCTGGTAGAGAGAAGGTAATTATTTTCAAAAATTACGCCTTGCTGGGGCGCCTGGGTGGCTTAGTCGGTTAAGCGTCCGACTTTCGCTTAGGTCATGATCTCTCGGTTCGTGGGTTCGAGCCCCGCGTCGGGCTCTGTGCTGACTGCCAGCTCAGAGCCTGGAGCCTGGTTCAGTCTGTGACTCCCTCTCTCTCTGACCCTCCCCTGCTCATTCTGTCTCTCTCTCTCTCTCTCCTAGAAATAAATGAAACATTAAAAAAAAATTTAAAAAAATTACGCCTTGCTTTTCAAAATATTTCTTTCAAAAGAATTTAAAATGTATAATTCTATTTATATGTAGTGTTTTGCAAATTTGGGGGGCAATAGACAGATCTATATGTAAAATTTGTCAGTAAATATGTTCTCCTGCAAATTATGATTTCACTCTTTAAAAGATAGTTCCAAATGTCTTACACATATTAGTATTTGCAGGTTTTCTGAATATGTATCACAATCCCCTATTTGGATTATAAAGGTCAAATTTTATAGGAAGTGAATAGATTAAAAAATTATTTAGGGGTGCCTGGGTGTTTCAGTCGGTTAAGGATCCGAGATCTGCTCTGGTCATTATCTCACGGTTCATGAGTTTGAGCCCTGAGTCGGGCTCTGTGCTGACAGCTAGCCCTGGAGCCTGCTTTGGATTCTGTGTCTCTCTCTTCCTCTGCTCCTTCTCCACTCATACTCTGCCTCTCTCTTTCTGTCTCTGTCTCTCCCTCTCCAAAAATAAACATTAAGAAATAAACTAAATAAATAAAAATTATTTAAATTTTAACATTAACATAGAAATAACAGTAGTTTTGTGTTTGACTGTATATTAGTACAGGGGCCATATATTATTTATTTTGGATTGAATCAAAATAAAGCAATCATCTAGAAACATTTCAACTAGAGGCTATTGATGCTCAAATGAAAAGAAAAACAAACTGATATTAACATAGAGAATAAAGAGTAACGCAAACCCAAAGACACATGACCCTTAAGAAAATTATAAGGCTGAGGAAGCATACGTGTTGTTCTCTACCATATCAACAGATTCTTACCTCAACGTTTGGGAAAGAATCCTACCGACTTAAATGTGGACACAGTATTTGGACTCTCCACTCAGGTAAAGCTTTCACACGTTCTCATAATCTCTAAATAATCTTCTCTCCAAATGAAGTCTTTTTACTACTTCCATATTGATTCTACCACTTGGAAGACACTGTTAGTTGCCTACATTGTAGCAGACCCCACTCCTCTTTTCCTTTCTTTGCTAGTCATTGCTAATAATTTTTATTTTCTTACAGTAGTAGATGCCAGTCCCCAGAAGCAAAGTCTCAGTGTTCTAAACCTACCATGGTAAACCCCTTTACTCTTTGCCTGTGATCATGCAGGAAGTGAGCACATGGCCCCTAAGTGGTGTCCAGTGAGACATAATGGGACATCCGATGGGAGTTTCTAGAAAATATTTTTATTCTCTAATAAAAGAAAGAGAGCTATGAGAAGAAGGCCTCATCCTTTTCATTATTCCCTTATAAAGGATTGTGTCAGCCTTCATGAAACCACCAGGCTGTGCCGGTCTTAAAGAGAGACTGAGGTGCTAAGGGTACAAACTTGCAGCTAGTAGGGAGTCCTAGAACTCTAATGCACAGTATAGAGAAAATAGACAACAATATTGTATTATAATCATCAAACTTGCTGACAGACTAGATCTTAAATGTTTCGAGCAAAAAATAAATGATAATTATGGGGCATGATAAAGTACTAGCCATCGCTGCAATGGCACTTACGGTACAATATGCAAGTGTATCAAATCCACATGTTGTCCACCTTAAGTTTACAAATGCATCAAATATATTTCAGTTAAGATTAACAAAATCCAAAAATAAATGAAGAAATAAAAGAATGGGGATAAGAGGGGATTAAGGGTCATGGGGGAGGGGAGATTAGGCAACAAGGAGTGGGAGATACTGAAGGCAAAAGGAGGAGGAGCATGATGGGCCGAAGGAGAAGAGACTAGGGCTATGGGGGGGGGGGGGCTACAGGGAAAGAGTAGGGGGCAGCTAGGCATGGCATGAGTGTGGGTGGGTTGGGGGCTTGAGAACCTGAAGGTGCTAGAACCCTTTACTACAGATTTCCCTATGGTTCTCTTAGGCCAGACAACTCACCCATTTTTAGGTAGTTGAAAGAAGTAAGTTCTTGGTAAACCTGTAAAGTTGGTCCAGTTAGTGAATTGGTAGTGGTGTGCTCAGTGCTAACTCCTCTCTTCTTGCCTCTAGGGGAGGTTTCCTCTGTACCCAGACCAGTAAAAGATTTGGTAGATTTGGTGAGTTGGTCATTCAGAGAAAGTGAATCATGTTCAAGTATTATAAGTGTTGACCAAACAAGAAGACTTTTAAAAAGATTCAAAAGGGGAAAGGATAAACTGGAGAATTTCCATGTGAAATGTTGACATTTTTATTATATTCACAAGAATATATTTCAAAAGATTAATAGGGAGCTTCAGACATCTTCAATTGTTTATTGGCTTTTTAAATGTTTATTCATGTGAACTGCCTATTTATATACTTTGTCCATTTTTCTCTTGGTTTGTCTTTTTCTTCATTTGTATGTGTTTATGTATTGTGGGTATCAATCCTTTGCTCATAATATATATTACAAATATTTTCTCCCATTTTATTTCTTGGCATTGAAGCCTTTAATTCATTTCAAGTTTATTTTGGTGTCTGGTGCAAGACTAGGATCTAATGGGATTTTTCTGTCTAGAAGTTAGACAATTTTCACAACACTGTTGAATAATCCATCTGGTCCCCATTAATCTGCAATGCTTCCTTCGTAAGTCTCATATGTGGTAGAGGCCATTTCAGAACCATCTATGGTGGCTTTGGTCAATTGCTCTGGAAATTCTTGTACACAGGTTCAATTATTCTTATGCTATTATGTACTTTTTCGTTCACACTTCTGAAATTTTCCTAGCTGTTCTCATATTTTGACTATAATGACAGCTGAGATTTAAAATCATTTTGTTAGGGGCTCCTGAGTGGCTCAGTCAACTAAGCCTCCGACTTCGTCTTAGGTCATGATCTCATGGCTTGTAAGTTCAAGCCCCTTGTGGGGGTCTGTGCTGACAGTTCAGAACCTCAAGCCTGCTTCAGATTCTGTGCCCCCCTGTCTCTCTGCCCCTCTCCCGCTCACACTCTGTCTCTTACTCTCTCTCTCAAAAATGAAGATTAAAAAATAAAAAAATAATAAAATCATTTTGTCAAATGAAACTATGCACGTTAGCATGGCATTTTATGGTAAAAGTATGTTATGGTAGATGGAAGGTGAGTGCTATGGGTTATTTTGTGCTGCATTAATCCTTGGGACAAATATGGATCATGCCAGACCTTCCAGTTTGAAAAACTTTCATTGTGGACTTTGAAGTCCTTCCCACCCCACAGGTCTCCAAGCAAAACAAAGGTAGCCAACACTATCTAGCAGTCATTCATCGTCTTTTGTTTGTCAGACTTGTTACCGACAACCGTGTGAAAAAGCCCAGGCTCTTGGAGCTCACGCCTATGTTCTCCGCAGGTTGTTTTGCAGAATCTCCTTATATGTGTCATTCTCTTCTATGCTGTGTACTACACGGTTCTGGGCATGTGCTGCATGATGCTCAAGTAAGTAGCGTGTTGCCTTCAAACAGAATTAAAAAGCTGAGATTGAATATGAAAGGAGTTTATATTTAATCCTTGACATGTCTTTATGGAATAGAGGATGCAACTTAAATATGGTATATTTTTGTGCCAGTCTTAAGCAAAAACAAGCAAATGTGCCATCTTCGAAAAGGATCAAAGCAAATGATCAAATGATTGGATAGATAGGGCCAGACAGGACTGTTCCCCGTTTTTCTTTGGAAGATGGTCATGGAAAGAAAATGAAGCTATTACTCCCTGGGCTGGGATTGAATCAGAGCAGATTTGAATTAGAAGGGAATTTGGAGATAATCTACATCAAATTTAAATATTTTTTGATATATACTGAAATATCTCTTGGACCCAAGTCAAGAGACCTAAATTCTGGCCCAGGTTCTTACTAACTTTCTGAAACATCTTAACTAATCCATAGAGATTCTCTTATTTTAATTGTCTTCATTTGTCAAATGAAAGTAACTGATCAAAAGAGGGTTATTATGAGGATAAAGTAAAACGTGTATTTTTAATGGTATTTCTATGTAAGTGGGAGGCAATTTTTTCAGGTAATTTTTTTAGTCTCACTGTGGTTTAATTTTGTCTCTACAAATTTAGGTTGCCAATACATTGGTTGCCTTGAAATACATTATGCAGATTTACAAATAATTTTCTAAGAAGCTGTTTATATAATTTAATTTTATTGTGCAAGCAAGGAGTTAGGACCCTTTGATTTCAATATGCAAATGAGTACCCAGAAATAATTATACCCGCTTTTGCAATGGGAATAATGTTATTCAGCACGCTTGCAGACAAACCCGCTGAAAGATCTGCTGCTCATACGGGGTCTCAGCTGCTGCTGGGACTGGAGACGGTGAGGCCAGGCCTTGAGCAGGCAAGAGCTGAGAATCTTTAGGGCTCTCTGAGCCTGATCTCAAGGATTTGTAGTTAGTGTGAGTCAGAGGAGAGGAATTTTAAGTTCTTGGGCCTTAAAGCTCTGGGAGGCAGCTAACTGATTGACCAGCTGGACACAGCTACAAACAGGCACAGTAGAGGGAGTATATTTATAGACTCCGATGTTACAATGGGAAGAGATCTCAGAGATTACCCTTTTCAATTTACAGCTGAGACACCAAAGCTCAGCTCCAAATGGAACTGACTTGCTCCCCGGATTCCCAGTTTCACAACACCATCAGGATTAGAACCTGGGTCTTGTTCGTGTCCATGCCTATGCTTTTGACACAGAATTAGGTTCTCCTCCCATATTTGATGTCAAAGACCTCCAAGATTACAGCAAAGACCTAAAATACAATGAAGTCCACTTGGTGGGCTAAGTGGACTTAATCGGACAAATAAGACAATGGGGATAGAAAGACTGTTTGGTTGCCATGCAGGCCAGTCAGCTTCTAAATGTTCCACAAGATGGTAAAGCTAATGAGTTATGTTGTAGGTGAAGAGTGATGTTCAAGGGCTTGATGTACAGAGCTGTGAGCTGCCTCCTCCAGGGTAAACTGTTTTCATTTGTAACATCTCAGGGTGTATGAGTTGGATGTCCTGGCACCATTTGATTTCAAAATGCACCCCTCGTGGCTCAACACAAATTATAAAGGTAATTGGTTTTCATTTCCAATCTTTTGTCAGTTAGTGAATGAAATGCCTCCAAAATCAAAATAGTTTTTGTTTCCTAAAAATTTATAAAATATCAGACCTTCCTCTCAGCCATCTGTATCTTATAACTGACTTCAGAAATTAATGTAGGAAAATGCCATCACCAAATTTAAAGGGGCAATTCCTAAAGGATGGAGTACTGGAGTAATTGAATAGAATTATTACATGAATTTATACTTGGTGATTTTGTAGGTAAATTTTTTGTGCATTGAATATTTTTCAAAGGAAATGAAGAATGATTTAGTATATTGATGTAAAAACGCTCATGAGATGTGACATGGAAAATGAAGACGACAGTCGTGTTTGTGTAGTGTGATTATTCATTTTTGTAGAACAGAGTAAAATACACGGTGTCAGTGGTAAGAAATCTGGAGAATTATGCAACAAACTGTTATCTCCCAGCTGGGATGACAGAGGACTTTCATTTTCTGCTTTGTACATTTCTGCTTAGTTTGATTTTTCTTCCCAAAATAAAAAAAAGGGGGGGGGGAGTGATTAAAGAGTATACTAAGGAAAAATTTATCTCTTAAAATAATCATTTTTGTTGAAAAAGTAATTATTAATTAATACCTGCTACACTCATAAGCCTTATGTATTTGTATTGAATATATGTCAAACATACTTGTTTGGGGGGCATTCAAGGTAAGTTTGTCCCATCTTTAGAAAAAGAAGATTTCAGTGTTATTTCCATTATAAAATAATACACATAATTAATGAAAGCTTATAAAATGCCTATAAATCGCAAGGAGAAAAACAGAAATTCAATCACAAACTTACGTTCAAAATATAATCATTCTTAACATTCTGTTAAATTTCTTCCTACTCTTTTTTTTAAGGGAACTGTGGATTTTTTAAGCATTGCAATTCTTTAGAAAACCACTGGACTTGTTTTTTTTAGGAACAAATATGCAAATATACAAATATACAAAAAAATTGCCTGAAGCGAAAGAAACCCGATTTTGAATATGACTTGTACAGGAAACTTGGTCAGTTAAAATTACTGAATTCAAATGGAAAAGCTTGAGAACAACTTCCTCAAATGGATAAATTTGTTGGGTGCCATTACTGATTGAACTTTAGACAGACAAGAATAAGTTAGGAAAAAGAGGCTTTCATTCTAATGAGACACAAGAAGTCTAACATTCTATTTTAACTTTCTCTTTATGCACTTCCCTATTGAACGTAGAATTTACTTATTTTCTATCAAAACTGTCCACAGTTAATAAGGAAATAGTCACAGTAAAGAGTTAACTAAGGGCTGTGTATGTGTTTTGGAGACGGGATTTAAAACTCAACTGTTACTATTTAATTCTTGCCTTTGGGTCAGTCAATGAGAGATAGGAATGACACAGCTTATTGGAAAAGCTGTGTTTTTACATAGCAGAGATTAGTGAAGATTCCCAGGATGCCAGCCACAGTTTATACCACTCTTTCCCTTCACAAAACACTAACATTTGTACAAAGATATCAATACAACCTTAGCCTATTAGATCTTTGATTTGGGGCTTGGGGAGATAACTGCCATAACTCTTCAAAGTTGCTACTTTGAGAATTTAGACTAATCTCGGAGATAAAGTGTAAGAGTAATCTCAGAGCCCTGGGCATGTATCTGGGGTCAAGTTTCTTGTCTGTTTCAATGATTTTGTCACCCAGGAGAGTCGGTTTAGCAAGGACACTGAAAAGTTTAAGTCTAGTTAAAACATTTTGATTACTAATAGCTTTCCTTTGCATAGCAGAGAATAGGTTACAAATTGCTTTCGTTTTACATTAAAACCCTCCCAACATTTTTTTTTTTTTTGAAGTAGATAAGATAGCACTCCATTTCCCAATTATAAAGACTGACCCAGAGGTTAAAATTGTGCTCGAGGTTTTATAACTCCTAGGCTATGAGGCAAGACTGTAACATTGGTATCCTGACTTTAAATTATGTACCGCTTCTTTTAGATCATGCTTTCTTTCATTTCATAAACAAAGTGTAAGCCTTTTTTTATCAATAGATGCAAATATAGCTTGTTCAAAACTAAAATCAATGTCTCCAAGCAGCTGCAAGTTAACCTATAAAATCTGGAAGTGCTGATAAAGGCAGCATCTCTATTTCCCTATAATAATCTGGAGGCTCTGTGAGCCACTGATAGAGACAGCTGTGGACATGTGGTGGAAAGACATGGTGTCACTATGACACAGCAATGCAGTTCCTTCCACAGCCTTGGTTTTAGGGAATAGGACATGCGGAGCTCAAGTTCATTCCCATCTGAAACAAAAGGAGCTGATATGAATTCTCCATTCAGCATTTGAAACCTGCTAAGTTACATTAAATGATATCGCAGAGGAATAATGGAAGGCCTTTAAAAAGGATGACACTTGGAACTTTCTTACTTGGTTAGTGTCTTGCTCACCCATGAAACAATCACTGGCTGGCTGGTTAATAAGTGACTTCTGCAAAGTAGGATATCATGTGATTATTTAACCCCTTGTTTTCAAAAATGAAGAGTTTGCCTGGCCAGCTTCATTGATTCCTGAATTAGAAGAATTTACTAACCGTTTGCTGTGTTTTGTTTTGTCTTGTTCTGTTTTCAAAAAAGAAAGGTAATTTTTATGGAAAGTGATACCATCTCAAAGGGACCTTGATGTGGGTCACGTGTATTTGTCACATACATTTGATGGATCTCTCCTTTGAAACCCCTCCAGGTTTAAAGATCCATACCAAAGACAAAAGGCAAAGGTTGACCCTTCACATATTCAGGGCTCTTAGAGATTTGTGGTACTGACCTATAAATAACGAGCTCTTTATACGTGTTCAGGGAAAGCACTCCGAGACAATTGACTGGATTTAGAAGGGTGCCTCCATCCACATGAGCCATTTATGAGGCTTCCTTTCATCCATGGTTATCAGTTATGTGTCCCAGATGACTATCTGAATGTGTCATTTTATTATAAAGACACAAAGGAACTCATTTCCAAGTTAGGCAATGATTGGCACCAAAGAAACATTATAAGTCAATGAACTCTTACATTTCTTTTTCTTCATTTCCTAAAACTGAGAACTGAATTTCTCATTGGTTTTTAATATATCTTCAACTAGATTTGCAATCCAATTGTAGATCAGCAGGTATTGATTCCATTGTAACCTTTATTGTATTTTACCTTTTAACATGGTAAGCACAAAGAAGTATAAATTAGATACTGTTATTTTTCTGTTAAGTCTGAGGATTACTAAGAGATAAAATATGTTAACAAGTTCTTATCCAAATTTGAGGATTGTTATGAGATGGGATATTTTAAAAGTCCTTGCCAAAGGACTCCACAGAGTAAGTTGCAATGGTCCTGTTACTAATTGTGTTTCTGAGTTGTTAGTTTCTCTAGTTGCAAATAATTATGTTCTGCATTCCATTTGCAATCCTTTTAATCTCGACACAGGTCACCTACCTGGTGTGTGGATTGCTTTTTGTTCTGGTTGTAGAAGAATGGGTCTGGGATTATGCTGTTTCAGTAACTATCCCTCATGTTGTCATCACTTCAACTGGTAAGCAAGATACAACAAAGGAAACAAAGTATATCAAGTCTGATGTTGTACTTAAATTGATTCATACGAGCAGAACTTTGTTATATGTATATTGTCCTCTGATGGCTAAATAATAAAAACTGGTGATAGTTCTTCACTCCCCCATCCTTCGCCTCCCCCACCAAGTCCTTCTATCATTTCCTGGGAGAGATTTTGATTGGCTACATCTTCCAGTTCAAAATGGTACTGAAATGTAGATGGACGTGTCCTCTTCTCCTCTCATGTTCAACTTGCCATCAGCTTGTACAGACTTTGCCTCTGTTTGGAATACTTTTCCTCCAACCCCCTACCCCTGAGGCAGAAATTGACCAAAACCTGCAGTCTGGGACCTGAGGAAACCCATACTGGCAGGCTTACAAACATCCCAACAATAGTTCATTTACCAAGAATACTAGGTTCTTAAACTAAGGGGTTTTATTTCTACCTGTGATCTTTGGAGTCAAAAGAAAATGGCTTCAAATTCCAATTCTACCTTTTTAAGAAGTGTATGGTCTTAAGGGAAGTCACAACAACCTTCACATTAGTTGCCTCCTCTGTGGTTATGGGGGAGACCCAGTGACATGTCAATGAGAATGAGAAGAGTCTGACTAGTGTCTAAGCATGTTTTTATTTAGTAAATGACAGTTCAAGCATTCTTTCCTCCATCCATTCAAAATGTCCTCTTCTATTGTAACTTTTCTCCCTTCCTGTCTTCCATTAAAAAAAAAAAATACAAGTTGAAGTGTGGGTGGTAATCAACCACAAGTTATAATTCAAAGTTATTATTATTTATTAGCAACTTAAGTCACTCTTATATTTTCAGTGTTGTGGTCTATTAATGGTTTAATCAGCCTCCAACTTAAACAATTTCCAAATGAATTGCTACACCCCAGCATCACTACTATTAGAGAATGCTAGTGTATCAATATCCTACTCTCCAGGCACACACCCTCCGTTAGTAACTTTTGGAACCCCTAAACCGCATAACTCAAATTCTCTGTCTTACTTTGAGGCTTAAGTTCACATGGAAGACAGTCATAGTATATTGCCAAAAGGGCTCTGGAGCATAGGGTGACTCAGTCTTCAAGGGTGCGGTAGGCAATAGGTTCTGGATCCAGAAAAGTTACAAGTTAATTGTCTAACACATGGCACAAAGAAAGTGCTTAACATCATGCATTGCTGAATAGAATTGAGCTCAGAGCAAAGAGGCTCAGAACTCCAAAGTAAGTCAGGCTTTAAGGATTCAGGGTGGTCTTAGGATCATTTCTGTTGCATAACACTCAGAACAACTCATAATCAAATCAACACTCAATCAATTCATAACATCATTCCTAGAAGAGGAGTTTCAGGTATCTGATTTCACAGATGACTTTTTAGACTATGAATTAAATACAGCTTTGGGGATACCCAATTTCATGAATGGGGATAAAGTTTCTCTTTGCTATGTGGATATGATCTGACCAAACAGAAGTATTTCTTAGTGAGCAAAAAAATAAATAAAATAACATATTTTAAAAATGAACATCTTTTTTTTTTCTTTTGCAGTTATGTCGGAATTCCCCTTGACATCCCATTGGTGGGCAGCATTAGGTATATACATGTGAAACCATATATATTACACACACATGTGTATGTATTATGAGCAACATGAATATTTGTATATACAGTGGGGGCATCAAAATATTTTCTTGAGTGGGTCAAGTAATTGGACCAGAAGACTGCTCAAAGTCTCCATCATTCTAAAATTACATGGAATAAAACACTGGGTATATATTTGTGACATATTCTTTTGATTCTCTTTCAACATGAACGACGTGCATAGAAATGTGATTTCATTTCATCTATTTTTTTTCTTCCCACTAATCGAACAACTGAATTCATCAATTACGTATCGAGTAAGAAAATTAATCAATTTACAGTGGACTCTTCTAAAGCTTTTTCTTTAGCTGAAACCATGTATGGACCGCAGAGATTTTTACATTTCCACTTTTCAGTAAATTTGGCAATAGTTTTACCTAAGTATCTTCATGCTTAGTAATTAGAAATAGAAATGCAGCATTTTACCACATTGTTTTCCCCAAAGCCAAGTTATCTGTTTATAGTATCAGTATTATTTATAGTACTCATTAGCTCCCTTCACTAGAGTTTAATTTTCCACTTCCCTTACATCTCCATAAGCCTTAGTGTGTACTCTTCTCTAATATTGTTCCCTTACATACAGAACACACATGTAGAAAGTAATGATATCTTATTTTGCATGAAGCTTTCAAAAATGCACATTTTTAATAAGTCAGAAAGAAGATCCTGAGAGACATGCTATAATTAGAAATGCTCTTGTCTCTCCATGAAAAACAAGTACTTATCTTCCGGATTTTATTTACAATGCCATAAATTTACTAAAGCCCTGGGCAATTCTGTCACACAGCAAATGCCACCTTGATGACCAGGAAAATCTGTTGGCGAACTGGAATGGCCAATAGAATTTGCTAAAATAGCTGGGTCACTATTTCAGTTTTAAGAATGAGGGTTCGCTTACTCAGAGAATGGTTGCCAAATGATGTTTGAGGTAAGCTTCTTTTGTTTTCTTTGAGTTAAAAAAATTAGATATCAGTGAAATGTGGCTACACAGCTTGGAAATTCTATCTCATGGTCTCACACTAGATGTGTGTCTATGTGAGGAAGTTGTCCAGTCCTGCAGAGCCTCAGATCCCCTTCCCTCTGGGAACTTTATCTTTCATGAGAATTATGTTATTACTGCCATACAAAGAATCATAGATTTATGGAAGTCCTGCTAGGCTGTATTAATATTTTTAAAAAACCAAAAATCCAAGAATCATTGGGCCAATGAAATTAGAGCTAAAGGCATTTTCATATAACCAAATAGCTCAGGTAGGTAGACTTCTGTTTTCAAAATCTTTTCTATACTAAAAAATATTTTCCAAGTTAGAAGAGAGCATATCTCCCTTTTATAATTAGAGAGAAAATACCTTGTAAAATTTTTTTAAATAGCAACAAAACAAATAAATGGCAGGTCTGAAGAGCTAAAAGAATTGAGAGTTGTAAAATCCTTGGCATGTGCTTTGACTTCATTGCCTTTGAATTTCTGAGTTTTAAGAGCTCCTTACTATTAATTTGACAGAACCACGCATCTATTCCCTGAAGGAAGTTTTGAATTTCAACAATTTATCAGTGCAGAATATATACCTACTCTCTCTTAGCTGAATCTATAAACTACCCTATTTCAAATGCTATGTCAGTTTCAGGAACATTATTTCAGTCATGACAATTGTTCTTATTCATAATCTCACCAATGAATTATTCATTATTGGTAGTTAACCAAAACTTCCCTTTCATTACTTGCAGGATCCGGCTTAGTTTCAATGATAGGTGGAGGCCAGGCTTTCGCTTACTGTTTGTTCAAAGACAACTTTATCTATCCAGATCTGGACGAGTTTTAACAAAACAGCTGAATTAATTTGCCTCAGACTTTCTATATTATTACATACATTGTGTCAGAGCTAAATTGTATTTTTTTTTTTGCTCACACTTGTATTCAAGGTTGAGTTTATGCTAGATACTTTATAACTATAAAAAGAAAAAGAGAAGTTAATGGAGAGCAGAAGAATCCTAGCAAGGCATTCATGAGCAAAATGTTGCAAAGTTATAAAATACAGTGTTTACCAAAGTGTGTTCCATAGAAAATGAGTTCTAAAATATGTTAATAGTGACTTGCAAGGAGGAAGAAGTTGCATGTTTAAGTATATTTGTAGAATCTTGGGTTTATGTGAAACAGATGTTTATTTTAGGACTTCTCAGAATCTTTAACATACTATTGAGAACAAGCCATGACTAAGTAGTAGTATACATTATGCACTGTTTCTCAGACATATTTGACTAGGGACACACTTTATTTATTTTTGAGAGAGAGAGACAAAGCACAAGTGGGGGAGGGAGGGAAGAGAGAGGGAGACACAGAATCCCAAGCAGGTTCCAGGCTCTGAGCTGTCAGCACAGAGCGTGACGTGGGGCTCGAACCCAGGAACTGTTAAATCATGACCTGAGCCAAAGTTGGATGCTTAACTGACTGAGTCACCCAGGCACCCTGGGGACACACTTTAGAAAATGCTGATGTATCTATCATGGGGAAAGTATAACATAGAAGAGAGTGAAGTTAAAACTACTACAAATCCCTATAAGCAGAATTAAATTCTATTACTGTCCCGCAGTATTTGTTTCTGTGATACAGAATTTCTTGTAAAATTATTGCCTTTAAAAAAATATCAGTGTCTATTTCTTTCCTTAGACTATGTTAGAAGAACATGGTGGTTCTCAAAATTTTGTATGCACTTGAATCACCCAGAAATCTTGTCACAATGCAGATTTTGGTTTAGAAGGGCTGTGATGGAGCCTAAAATTCTGTATTTCTAACAATTCAGAGAAAATGCCTATGCTGCTCATCCATGGACCAGTTTGAGTAACAAGGTACAAGTGGGTGGGACTAGGTATTTTTAGAGATTATATAGCTCTGTACTGCCAGCTGTATGTTTTTTAAATATCATTGGTATTCAGTGTTTGTTGAATTGGATTAAAACTGAGACTAACTAAATTTATATAATTGTCTTAAATATTTACCACTTTTAAATATAGATGAAAGTATTTTATGATATAAAATAAGTGCATACCATGGTTACAGCTAAAATATAAATATAGGGAAAAGGATAGGAAAGGAACATACACCACTTCCCCTCTATCCACATATTCCCACACACAAACATTTCCGGCAACAAGTAGCAACTAAGTTGCACCAGCTCTAGAATTGTTCCTTAGCTATTTCTTACTCTAAAAATCTAATTTTTCCATAGGGATTTGCATTCAACCACTAAGAAATGTCATGCAAATTATATGTATTCATACATATACAAAAACTACATTGTGCTGATCAGTTACCGGTTAGATAATCCAAGCTTCTCATGCACATGGAAGTACAAAAGTATTGCTATTTTCCTCCTTGCTTCTTTCTCACACTTACTTATTTCCACAAACTTTTGCCTTCCATCCATTATTCTCAATCTTCCCATCAATTTCCTCCAAAATATTTAGTCATGGAAGTAGTAAAATATATAACTCATCTAAATCAGGCAAAGGATTATAAATTCCAATTATTAATAAAGGTTTTTCTCTCATCTTTAAAGGAAGGCAGCATAAGGGAGCTATGAATGAGTCAGCATTATGAACTTTGATTCTCCAAATAAAACCCCACTGAAGCACACAGAAAAGAGTGTACTGTTAAATATATAACAAAACTCAATCCTGCTCTATGAAAAATACAAGTATCAAACAAATCGCGTATTACTAATGAGAAAGTCTGCCCCTATAGAAACTCACACATGGAAGAAGTTTACAGAAACATTAAAGCTGTCTAAATAAATTTGATAATTAAAAGAAGATTTGGTTGATTAAGTACTTTTTAATATATTGAGAATTAAGTTACACTAGTAAATTAGAATAACAATCTCTCCAGACTCAGAAGACTATAATATCGTATCATTCTGTAGTGTAGCTTAATTAGCATGTTTATTTCTAGGATTACGAATCCATCTGCTCAGGTAATTACTATTGTGTGAATCCTCTTTATTTTTTTCTCCAGATCACAAGAATAATCTGTGGTTTTCTTCTCTTATTCATTAAAATGATTATCATTATCTATTTGATGATACCACTTGATACACAAAAATTAAAAACATAATTACAGTGCATATTTTAACTTAAAAATATTATATATCAGATATGTCAACTGAATATTCACTTTAGGTTTTACTGCTTTGAATTGCATGTAAATTGAAAGACCAAGAGTTGTGCCCATTTAATGTACTTTTACAGTGTCCCTTACAGAATCATAAGTTGGAATCCTAGCCAGCATTTAGATGGATATTTTTCAGGTAGGACTGAAATTATGTACATATTTAAAAACTAATATTTTATGTCATGACCTTGCCATAAACATTCTCTATTTCTTTTTTATTTCTTTATTTTTTGAGAGCGAGAGTGTGAGCATGGGTGCGGCAGAGGGAGAATGAGAGAGAATCTTAAGCAGGCTCCACACCCAGTGTAAAGCCCGACATGGGGCTCAATCTTATAAACAGTAAGATCATGCCCTGAGCCGAAATCAAGACTCTGACTGAGCCACCCAGGCATCCCTCCATAAATATCATCATAAGCTGTTATATCATTATGTATAATGTAAATCAATTTGCATATTCCTTTAATGTTTTACTTAAAATAATTATTTCCCAAATGAACAATAGCATTACCTTTACTAGATGGATAGAGAGATAGATCTGTATATATAGATCATTGTCAGTAAAAGTAAAGATATTGTCTTTAAGTCCCTATTTTCCTATACTCTTCCAACATTAAAATTGTCATTTTTACACTATTAATGTGCATGATATCTTTACAATGCATGTCAACTCCTCAGTTATCACAACAAAATGATTTATATAATTGAGACCTAAATTAAGATGGTCTAATTTAGAGAATTTAATTTCATCCTATTTTACCCACAAATATAGATCAAATGCCTACTGTGCACAGGACACCAGTTACCCAGCCATCAAGACTTTCATTTAACCAGTCAACGAATATTTTGCTAGGTTCTGGAGCTATCATGCTTGGCACTAGAAACATTCAAATGCAACACAGGTAAAGCAACATACTTTGCACTTGTTATACTCTTAACTGTTGTTGGGTAAAAGATAGGACAGAAAAGGAGAAGAGACTTAGGCTCTTTGATGGTGGGGATATGGTATGTTTAATGTCACAGAGCCTGCTCCTAGAACAGTGTTTGGAACTTAGCAGACATATCGTGTGCACATAAGTATTTGTCAAATGAGCAGAAAAAACAAGTTCATTTTTCCTTGCTTAGAAGCAGGTGACTACAATCCATCAAATTAGTTGCATGTTGGAAGACTCTGGAAACGTGTCAAACACTGGCACACCTGGGGAGGGATTGATTGTTGTACTGATCCAGCCAAAGTCTTTAGTGTCAAAAGGAAAATACATGTACAGATTGCCCTTGGAGACAGAGGATACCCAGGAGCAAGGAAATAAAGTGTTTAAGCTGAACATAATTGGACACATTATACCTTCACAGTATCAAGTTAGAACAGACTCAGAAAAACAACACTTTCAACTCCCAAGGTGTTGGTGAGTAACGCATATTTTACACACAACTTTTTGGGAGATGGAAAAGAAGGCTGGATTGCACTCCTCACAGCACAATTAACTCATATCCTTGTTAGACATCCTGGCTCTCTTCCCTACCTGCTGCCGATGACCAGGTCTCTCTTCCTCACCTTCTCTCCACAAAGCCTCCAAGCTTCTGAACACAACTAATATAGACCACAATAAAATCTTTATTGTTACTTGAAGAACGGCTATGCTTTGTTCTCCTGACATGTCCCTACAGGTTATTACCCTGAACTATCCCAAATGACTTTGCAAAATATTCACCTCATCAAAAGACATCTAATCTCTTCTCAGGGCCAATACTTGCTGTTGGAAAGGAAATGCTGTATGTATGTCTTAGAGTAGTTCTGCCCAACACGTGTCTGCCATGACAAACCTTTCTGTGTCCATGATCTCTGATCATTTCTAGATCTGCGCTGCCCTGTACTGTAACCACTAGCTACATGTGGCTATTAAGCCATCAAAAAATATTTATAGCAATTTAGGAATTTAATCATTGGTTCAATTTTAATTATTTTAAGAGTAAACTAGTGGTTGCTGTACTGGACAATGTAGATCTAGAGGCTTTCCTTCCCATTTACAAGGGAAAAATTAGTACCATCTGCAGATATTATACCTCCCAGTCATGTTGAGTTTTTGGCTTCTATGAAGGGTAGAAAGATCCATTCACAAAAAGAAGCATTAGAGATAAAAGACATACTTCTCCCCATGGTTATCACTCTATATGATACCTTCGATTCTTTGATAATCAGCTGTTTGATTGCACTGGGAAATCAGAGGATTAAAAAGCCCATCAGCTGCATTGTAACAGATGGAGATGTACACACTGGACTCTGTCTTGGTGTGGGGGAAATTTTGTTCTCTGTCATGGCCTGGCATGAACACATCAGCACCTGAACAATCTTGATGCAGCTTATGAAAAGTCCTTTCTCACCATATACTGCATCCTTCAGAGGACTGTCAAATGAACAAAGCCTAACCGAGAATAATGGAGCCCGGTCCAGTTTGCTGAAACTCAGGATGAACCAAAGGAAAATGTGTGCAGAAAACCCAGAGATTGTCACCAGGCCAGTATGCACAAAGACTGGGTGTACATTCTTTAGTAATATATAATGTATTGGTGTCTTTATTGTCTTTCATATTAAAAATGTAACTTCTATCTTGGAACTATGACTGAAACTTATTTTTTATTCTTTCATGTGTCTCGTAT